GTGGAGAAAGTCACCAATTATATTCTCATGGGCTCAGATAATTGACTTGTATCTTTTCGTCTTGTTGGATCTTAGTTCTGTATTTGATACAGTTTAGTGATATGCTGGTTTGAATCTTGTTTTACATATTTCATTTTTTTTAGCTTAACGATAAATCTTGTTTATGCACCAGGGTTACTCGTGGGGTACCACAGGGATCAGTGCAAGGGTGAATTATCTTCTGTATATATATATATATGTCCCAAACTGGTAGAATTATCTTGCAGCATATGATTAATTACCACCGTTGTGCTAATATACTCAGCTTAAAGTATTAATCTTTAAACTAACCCATTACATAGACTACATGGTTGTCTTGCCAAACTCCTGATGAAGAGATCACAATATTCCTCTTAGTTTCTCTTCATTGGCATTCATACAGAATACAATTTAAAATCCTCTTTCTCACATATAATGTCCTAAATAACCAAGCTCAGTCTTATATCAGGATTCTGATCATTCATTTAGTTTCTAACAGAGCACTTCACTCTCAATCTACAAGTTTACCAGTTTTCCTAGAATTTCCAAAAATAGAATGGGAGGCAGATCTTATCAGGTTCTTCTCCTGTGGAACTAAATACCTGTTATAAGTAGCTGCTATTAACACATCTACTATTATTCGATAATCTAAAATTCTTGAATAAACAACAATTCACTCTCCTATTTTGGAAGGGGGATGTCAGCTTGATATGTTGATCACTGTCCGTCTGTGGTTGATGCTGTCCATCTGTGGTTAATACTGCACATATATCCACATCAACTTTTAATGTTTACATTGCTTCCATGGGCTTGTGCACAGACCAGCGTGGCAACCCGATGTGCAAGAATATCTCAGCCTTTCGACTGCTGAAGGACAAAGAGACCAGTTTTCGCCATTCTGCCTCAATCTTCTTTTTTCTACCATTGTGCAATTTACATTAGCTCAACCCCTGACTTTATGTTCTCTGTTCTTTTCCTCATCATAGTAGCTTCATCCAATCTGCTCCTGTTTGTCTATGACACCATATATCAGCTTGGATGGTACCATCAATACCTTCAATGATGGCGGGCTCGGAGCACATCTGCTTGGCTTCTTCAGTGCTTCTACAGCTATGTTCCTTTTGTATATTTCTGTCTGTCTCCTTGAACCCAAACTTGGCCTTAGCAGTAGGCCACACTGACTCTGGTTACTGTATGATGGAAGTTTTTTACCTGTTAAAATTTGTTTTGTTTCTCCATTGTGGATGCATGCATGCATGTCGTGGAGTGATTGCTGTAGATTCATCACAACATGCAAGGAAATATTATCATTACAAGCTCATACAGGAGAAGCATTTCTAGTACGGTAAGTCAATAACTCAATGGCAGTCAGCTAGCTTTACTTAGAAACCTTTTACCAATCTGACATTATGATCTGATTGAATTGTCTCTGTAAAGTGCCGTGAGATGAGCCGGTGCTATATTAAGAAACTTAATTGAATATAATTAAATTAAAAAAAAGAAAATATGGCTGAAACATTCAATGTCAGCTCTTAATACAGTATATCTATACATTCACTGAGAATTTGTAATCAGCTGAACCCAAACACCTGTGTATGTATATGTGAGCACTCTTACATTATTTCAGACCTCTGTGCTAAATCCAGAAAGCTTTTTTCTTCTGGAGTTCATTATGCAACAAAACAGCTGAAGCTCCCCAGTACACAAACCAAGCTTCCATTAGATTACCTCAAATTATAATTCCCAACTCTTGTTGCTGCATCCTATCCCTCCACCTTTCACAGGGTCAACAGTAAGAACTCGATTCAGGGTGCAAGAATCTTGAAAGCATTATCGGATGCCAATATGTGGGTTAAGACACATGAATGACACTGGTCAAATTGGAACTAAAGCCTTTAGGAAAACATCTACAAAAAACAGATGATACAAAAATGAAACAAACAGACAAAATTCTTTGTTATAAGACCAAAAACATATGCAGGTAAGGAGATCTGCATGTGTCAAACACAGTACATGTCACAAAATACTGTGATTTTGTTCAGCTCTGTGAGGTAGCCCATATGTTACAGTAATTTATGCAAAGGATTGTGGGCAAATGTATAATTCCCAGCAGAGACAAGGGATGTCAGAGGTCTGTATGCTAACTACACTAGCACTAGGAAGCATATGACTTAATCATCCTAGCTTCTTGTTACTGCCAGTAGTGTTTGAATGGCAACCTTGGATGCACTTCTGGCATCAGTGTCTTAACCTATTTGAGGTTTTCGAATTGAGCCTAAAACATGAAGGCGCACACATTTACATGCGTCACTCACACTAAATGTAAGGAAATGTTGTATTTTTATTAAAATCTGTAAGGTAGGCTGTGCCAAGAGTATACTGTATCTACTGTCACAAATTATGTTGGAAAACTCTGCCTCTGACATCTCTGCCTATTGAATTTTCCAAGCATCCTCCTGCATCCCTTCTTACTGCCAGCACTATTCAGACAGCACTAATCATGGCGACTACTGGCAAAATTCCACCTGGACTTTAATATCCTTACTGATTTGCGCAATTTGGATTGACTTTTTAAAATTACCCAGGCTTTTTGAAGGGACGATGCAGTATTGTTATTTAGTGACTGTTGCTATATTTAAAGACTTTTCAGGGCCCTTTGGCAACTTTTCTTAAAAATTGCAATTCTAGGGTTTATTTTCTGTGTTGGTGGTGGCTCTGGCTACAACATAAAAAAGTACCCTTTGCCTATCTTCAGTGAGCAGTGAGTAAATTAGCTCCTTCTTCCTCCAAAGCACAGAGAGGCAGACCAAGCAGAGCACCGTACCCGCAGTCAGAGAAAGACTTTACAGTGCTGTTAGAGACTTTTGCAACAGCATGAAACCACTGATCACTGAGTATACTGTCGTTAGTGAGCATTGAGGTCTGCTGCGAGTCCCTCCAAAGCACTGACAGGCAACCTGTCTGGAGCAAACCTGCAGACTGACTCCAGTCGGAGAACAATGAGTGACTGTCCTCTTTTTCTTTTTTTTGTAATATAAAATGAGTCACAGTGCAAAGCTTCCATTCTTAACCCAGGGATTAAAACGTGGGATGCGATTATAATATTTAACATTTATTTTTCCCTTGTGCCCATTGCACTAAAATGTATCCTTCCCTTAACTGAATTCATACACAAATTCATGTGTGTGTGTGTGCTTAATGTCTTAATATGAATTTGATCATATAAGATTTATTAATGGAACTGAGGAAAAAGTAAGGGAAAATCAGGTGTGTATTATTATCACCTAATTGAAAGTGTAGTTAGTTTATCTCAGGCTAAATGTGCTAAGGCTTTCAGATAAATGGTTACAGCAACCTGACAAATTACCTGGGATTCTGAATACCCAGGTAAAACAAATCCTGGAGCTTTAAAAGCTGGGGCTTTCAATGATAAAGGGACTCATATAGGTCTGTTCACGTCGAACGTGAACTTCAAACTGCTGATTGCAATTGTAAAGGGGAACTCCAAAATCAACACAAGAATGTTTCATTTGTGAACTCAACTTAAGCTGTAGGGTAAAAAGCAATATTTATTCATATATATATATATATATATATATATATATATATATATATATATATATAT